AGTCCCTGAAGCCATCCTGAACCCAGTGTACAGCAGGGTTATTTTGTGTTAGTTTGGGTAGGTAGCGTGTTTGTAGAAATTTTTTCATTTCCTCTAAGTTTTCAAATTTGTTGGAGTATAGTTTTTCATAATACTCTGTTATAATCCTTTTTATTTCAGTTGGGTCTGTTGTAATGTCCCCCATTTCATTTCTTATTTAGGTTATTTGCATCCTCTCCTGTTTTTCTTTCGTCAGTGTGGCCAGTGGTTTGCCAATTTTGTTAATTCTTTCAAAGAACCAATTTTTGGATTTGTTGACTCTTTCTATTGTTTTTCTATTCTCTATTTCATTTATTTCTGCTCTGATCTTTATTATTTCCTTTTTTCTCATGGCTGTGGGCTTTGCTGTTCTCCTGTTTGTTCGAGTTGTATAGCTAATGTTTTGATTTTGTCTCTTTCTTCTTTTTTGATGTGTGCATCTATTGCTATAAATTGACCTCTGAGCGCTGCCTTCACTGTGTCCCAAAGGTTTTGGTATGATGTGTTTCCATTTTCATTTGATTCTAGGAATTTTCTGATACCATCTTTGATTTCTTCTATTACCTTGAGGCTTTTAAGCAAGATATTATTCTTTTTCCATGTATTTGATTTTATTCCTTGCTCTTCCTGTTATTAATTTCTACTTTTATGGTGTTGTGATCAAAGAAGATGCGTTGTACTATCTCAATGTTTTGGATTTTGTTGAGCGTTGCTTTGTGGCCTAAGATGTGGTCCATTTTGGAGAACATTCAATGTGCGTTGGAACACAGTGTGTACTTTGCTGCTGTTGGGTGGAATGTTCTATATATGTCTATGAGGTGAAGTTGGGTGACTGTAGTTTTTAGATCGTCTGTATCTTTGCTGAGTTTCTTTCTAGATGTTCTGTCCTTTACTGAGAGTAGCGCGTTGAAGTCTCCTACTGTTTTTGTGAAACTGCCAATTTCTCTTTTCAGTGCTGTTAAGAGTTTTGTTTTATGTATTCTGGTGCATAGATATTTATTATGGTTATGTTCTTACAGTGGATTGTCCCTTTAATCATTATATAATGACCCTCCTTGTCTTTTATGGTGCATTTTGTTTGAAAGTCTATTTTATTTGAAAGTAGTATTACCACTCCTGCTCATTTTTGGTTGCTGTTTGCTTGATATATTTTTTTCCACCCTTTGATTTTTAATATATTTATATCTTTGTTTCTAAGGTGTGTCTCTTGTAGATAGCATATTGATGGGTCCTTTTTTTTATCCGTTCTGTAACTCTGTCTCTTTATGGGTACATTTAAGCCATTTATGTTGTGTGATTACTGATAGGGTGATTTTATTGCTATCATTTTGTAGTGCTTTTTTTTGTGATGCTGACATTTTCTTTGTTCCTCCTACTCTCCTGTGCTGAATGCCTTTTGTTTGTAGATTTTTTTCATTTCTTTTGTTTTTGTAGATTTTGTGTTTACTGAGAAATTATGTTTTCCTTCTTCGTTTTGATGAGTCGGTTTGTTAACTTTCTTTGTGGTTACCTTGAAATTTACTCCTATCTTTGTAAGTTTAAACCAGTCTTTTATTACTTGATATCGCCTTGACTTCCTCTCCATTTGAAAGTCGTATACCTACACTGTTTATTCCCTCTTTCATTGTTCTGACGTTGTTGTCATTTTCAGGCTGACCTCTCTGGTTTCCTGTTGTAAATCTTTTAGTTTTGTTTTATTCTTGAGAGTTCATTACCTAGGGTTGGTCTCTGGCTGATGCTGTCCTGTGTACTAGATTTAGGTCGTTGTCTGATGTAGTTGGTTCTCTAACCAAAGGGCTCCCTTTAATATTTCTTGTAAGTTTAGTTTGCTTTTTACATATTCCCTTAATTTGTTTATCTGGAAATGTCCTAATTTTGTCATCATATTTGAGCAAGAGTTTTGCAGGAGATATTATTCTTGCTTGGCAATTTTTTTCTTTCAAGATTTTATATATGCCATCCCATTGCCTTCTTGCCTGCATGGTTTCTTCTGAGTAATGAGAGCTTAGTCTTATTGTATCCCCTCTGTATGTGACTTTTTGTTTTTCTCAAGCTGCTCTCAGGATTCTCTCTGTCTTTGATTTTAGTGAGTGTGATTATGATATGTCTTGGTGATTTTCTTTTGGGGTCTATCCTATATGGAGTTGACTGTACTTCTTGGATGGTCAGCTTTTCATCTTTCATGATATTAGGGAAGTTCTTCTGTCAGCAAATCTTCAATGATCATCTGTGTTTTCCATCTTCTCCCCATTCAGGAACTCTAATCACATGCAAATTTTTGCTTTTGATTGTATGTATCCCACATTGTTCTCAGGTTTACTTCATTTTTCTTCATTCTTTTCCCTGATTTCTCCTCAAGGAGGTATCCAAGCATTTGTCTTCAATTTCACTGATCCTGTCTTCCATTGTTTCAAATTTGCTCCTAAAACCTTCTACTGTGCTGTCCATTTCGGAAATTTTGTTGTTTATCTTTTGGATTTCTAATTGCTGTTTTTGTAGGAGTTCTGGTTGTTTGTTTACTTTGACATTTTGTTCCTGTATTATTTTCCTGGCTTTGTGTTTTCCCTGATTTTGTCTGTATTTTCCATGATGTTGTCTATCTTTTCCTTATTTTTGTCTGTGTTCTCCTTCATCTCTTGGAGAGCCCTGAATATTGGAGTTTTGAATTCCCTATTAGGTAGTTCCAGTGCCTTTTCTTCTACCTAAAGGTCATCTGGTGTTTTATTTTGGTTGCTTTCTGGAGTCTTCCTGCCCTCCTTTTTTTTTTAAATATGTTTTGATATTGTCTGCTGTCTCTGGGACATTCAGGAATTACTTTCCTTGTTTATTGATTGTAGATTTGTTTCATCCAGCTTTTTTTGTTTTATTTGGTTATGTCTGGGCAGGCGGGCTAGCTGTGCTTTGTTGCTTACTCATTTGTGGGCATGATACTTCTCACAACCTTGTCCAGGTGGGCAAGGCCAGTTGCTCAGCTATGGTGCAGCAGGATAGGTCCGGGGAGGGGCAGGGATGGGTCCTTTGTGGCACGTACTGGGGCTGACAGGGCAGGGCCAGGGGTCAGTGCAGGGTTGGGTCCAGTGGTCCATGCCAGTGCTGCTCAGGGGACAGGGCTCAGCACACAGTGCAGATAGGCAGGAGGGATGGGAGAGGATGTGATGTGTGGAGCTGGTGCTCAGTCCCCTGTTGGAAGCTCCACGAAGTTACCTTCCCGTACTGTCTGCCATTGTTGATGGCTGAGTTCCAAGATGGTGAATCCGTGCTGTGTTAGCTAGTAGGGGACACCCCCTCCACAGGTCTCCTCATTCTCTATTCTCCGTCAGTTTTTTATTCCATTGGTGGTTTATCAAGTTCTTTATCCCTTCATTTGACACTTAGGATTCCAGGATTGACATCTGTATGTGTTTTACTTAGTTTTTCGGGTTTTTGCTGTAGATGGACGGAATGGTGCTCCTGTCTATAGCGCCATGTTGGCCCCATCTTGTTTTCTGTTTTTAATAAAATGTCACACACAAAAAGGAATATATATACATTCTACTCACATCTCAATTTAAGAAATACAATACTACAAACACATATCACTGCCTTTGTCCTAGATGTAATGTCTTGAATTTTATGTTGTCACTATCTTGACTTTGTTAACAGCCCTTTGAATCCCTAAATAATATGTTGTTTGGTTTTGTTTGTTTTATGCTTTATAAAAATGATGTGATACTCTTTTAATTGATTAATATAATCACAATTAATTTATTTTCACTGCTCTATTGTATTTTATTATATAAACTGCTAATGCCAACAAATGTTTCTATGTATATGATATAAATGCACGTACCAAAAGAGTGGAATTGTTGGGTTATAACATTCTGTGTATTTCTAACTTTACCAGATAGTATTTTTCATTTCCTGTTTTGAAAACCTTTCTGTACTCCAAGGGCACAGATGTTTTACTTTTTTTTTTTTCTTTCTAAAAATGTCAAAGTTTTGCCTTTTACATTTAAGCCTTTAATCCTCCTGGAGTTATGTGGTAATCTACAATGCTATCGTTGACATTAAAAGTTTCCACATACATATGAGTCTGTTTATGGGCTATCTATTCTGCTCATCAGTCTATTTGTTTCTATGTACCAATACCCCACTGTCAGTGTTGATAACTGAGTAGCACAAATCCACCCATCCTGTTTTCTTTAGGAATGTCTTCAGTGTTTCTTATCTATATAAATTCTAGAAGTGTCTTGTAAAGTTCCATTTTATAAAAAGCCACTGAGGATTTAATTGGCACTGAAACAATCCTACAGACCAATTTGGGGATGACTGAGATTTTTATATTGTCTATCTATACATGAACATGATACATCTCTCTATTTATTTGACTCTCTTTAGTAAAGTTTTTACTTTGGTTCATCTTTTGTTAGATTTATTTCTAGGAACCATAAACATTTGTTACTACTGTATAAGGTATCTTTTTAAAAAATTATACTTTTTTGCCTTTTGTATCTGGTATAGAAAAATGCTATTGATTTTTTACATTTATATTGACCTTTTATTCAAAAACCATATTAAACTTATTATTTCTAGTAATTTAAATATAGATTTATTTCAGGTAATCATAAAATTGGTGAATATTTATTGTATTCTAGCTTCCTTTCCAATTCTTAAACCTTTTGTTCATTTTCTTTTTTTTCTTGTCTTACCATGCTGGCAAGGAACTTCAGTGCAATGCTTATGGACATGACAATGGAATTTTTTAAAAAACATAATAGTGGTTTAAACTTCTCAAATAACAGTAAATATTTTAAATATGTTCTAAACAGAAAGGACATCTCTTTGGATTAAAAAAAAAAGTCAGAGTTCTGATAAACATTATTTCCAAAAAGGTACACAATTTCTAAGGTACACATGTTAGTTCATGCTTAGAAATTAAGATTTGGGTAAATCTTAATGGACTGTTTAATAGCAAACAAAGAAAAGAAGACAAGAAAACTAACCTTTTTGAAGTAAACTGGGTCCCCTGTCAAGTAGCTGAGGTGGACAAACTCCATATGTAGGGTACCAAATTCAGCCAGAATGCTGCTGCCCGCAGATGCCCAGCCCCAGTTTCGCCCTACTCCACTGAATAAAAGGGTAAAACAAAAAAAAAAAAAAAGAGACAGGATTTGAAAAAGAACAAAATATTTTTTTTAAATCAATACATAGAATTTCATTCCTAGAAATTACCATATCTAACAAATAGTTTACTTATTTCTTAAATTCTATTTTATTTTTTAAATTTTTATATACATGTTTCAAAAAAAAAAAAGTAGTCACTGAGATTGCTTATGTACAACCAAAAACCTCATGGGATGTGGTTTCTTGGCTTGAGGGTCATGGTTTCATGGGCCATACCAGTTAATTGGCCTAATAACATGTTCAGTGCTTCTATTCTACCTCCTAGTTTGATGCATAGTGCCTGGGGTCTTACAAAAGCTAGCAAGTGGCCATCCGAGGCACAATTGGTCTCTATTCACCTGGAGCAACAGAGGAAAAACAGTCAGGAATAGAAGGAGGATATGGAATGTGTGGCTTAATTGCCCCGTGAACAACTGCCTCCTTTGCCATGAGACCAGAAGAATTGGATGGTGCCTGGCTACCATTACTGAACATTTTCATCAAAGATTCTATAGCAGAATGCTGATCAAAAAGGGGGAAAATGCAAAACAGAATTGAAATTCTCATGGACTCCAGACATCCTGGAGCCATGAAGGTTGGATGAATCCCTGAAACTATTGTCCAGAGGTAATCTTTAAACCTTAAACCAAAAATATCCCCTGAAGTCTCCCTAAAATCAAACAATAGTTTAGTTTAACTAGTAAAAAAAAAGGTCTGCCTTGAGCACTGTGCTCTTCTAAAAACTATCTATATGGGATCATACTGACAACAGCAACCTGGAAGATTAGGTAGGAACCTTAGGGGGCAGTGAATTTATGTTAATGCAGGAGGAATAATTCAGAAAAGGAGGGTGACAAAGGTTTCACAACTCAAAGAATGTAATCAGTGTCACTAAACAGTATATGTAGAAAACGATGAATTGGTTTATGTTTTGCTATGTATATTTTCAACAATAAAATTTAAAAAAATCAAAACAATATAAAAAGGTATACTGTATAAGTATTTTTTGCACTCCGATTTCATCTCCCTTCACCTGACCAGGCCCCACAGATAATGACTTTCATTAGTTTCTTATGTAATAATACATAATTTTTATACATATGTAAACAATCCAAATATGTACTTTTACTCTCCTCCTTTCTCACACAAAACATAGCTCTGTATCTTGCATTTTACTCTTAAATACATCAAATGACCTCAGGTATCTTCCTATCAGTTTATAAATAGCTTTCTCATTTTTTTTTTTAACAGCTGCACAATATTCCACAGTATCAATGATTCCCAACTGGAATGCCCCATCAAAGAGGTATATGAAAATGTATGGGAGCATTTTGGGTTATCTCAAACCTTGGAGGTATAACTTGCAGTTATTAGGCTGGGGCCAAAGACATAAAACGTAACGTAATGGTCAGAACAGTACCATATAATAAATAACTGGTCAGCCCCAAATGCCAATAGTGCCTGTGTGAAAACCACCACATTACATGAATGTTGTTGTTGTTGGTAGCCGCCATCAAGTCGGTTCCAACTCATAGGGACCCTATGTACTACAGAATGAAACGCTGCCCAGTCCTGTACCATCCTCGCAATTGTTGTCATGCTTGAGCCCATTACATGAATAGAGACAATCAATCCTCTATTGGTAAGTCCTTGAGATATTTCCAATATTTTGCTAATACGAAAACTTTTGCAGTTAAGAATTTTTTGCACATCTCCGATTTGTGTAGATACATATCTAGGACACATTCCTGTTTGATTTTTGCTGTTGTTGTTTGCTTTTATGTTAGCATGCCTTGTAATTTTTTATTGGAAGCCAAACTATATAAATGAAAACTTGAAGCTTTAGATGTTTTCTTCTAAGAATATTAGGTTACTTCTGGAAACAGGGAGAGTACAGGCAGGTTACACTGGTTTTAGGCTTTCTTGACAATGACCTATTTCAGTTTTACCCTTACTCCCAGAGAATGGCCCTCTGAGATCTCAACTGAAAGTCTGGGGTTTTACCTGTAAGGCAGCCTTAAACTTATTTAACAACTGTTTCCGTACCACGTGGCTGCTAAAATCTCTCCTTAGCCCGTTAGCCTCCAGCTACTGTTTCTGCTGGGTTTGAGTCTTGCCCTCTGCCCGTTCAGTTAAGGAATCAGCCAATGAGTTGAAGGGAAGTTGTACAAAGATTTTGGGGCTCGTCCTCTGCTATTTTCTCCTTTCTGAGACTTTGTCCCTCACGTCTCAGTCATTTTGGCAGCGCCAAGCTCTGATCACTGTCTTCTGAGACCAGTTTAGGCTTGGCCTCCATTGCCCTGCACCATGACTTGGAGCATGCCCTCCAGGAAAAAGCCAAAATTCTTACGGAGCTGCCCTTCTCTTAGGATCATAACCCTTCGAGTCCTGCCTGTGTTAATTGTTTCCAATGCCTTCAAATCACTTGGTTTTATGTATTTTTGTCTAGTTTTAATGATTGGTTGGAACTGGAAATCTAGATTACTTATTCAAACAGTAACGTCCATGGGTTGTTATTCCTACTAAAACTCTAAACCATTCTCTAGTGTTTATTCTAACTCTAAGGAAGAAGTGAAAATATAAGTCTTTTCTCATTTTATATCCACTTTTATACTGCCAATTCAATATGCTATACTTTACTTAGCTGTGGTGAGAAAACACTAAAATGGGTATCAGGACACATCACTACCTTACAACCGTTCCTTCATTGTTCAGTGTTATTTTTACATTGTACTCAAAAATACGGTAGGCAAATACTATTAACAGATTTTGATAGCTGCGACAATCAAGGAAGAAATATAGATATAATAATTATGGAGAAAGACAGTCATTAATTTAACAAATATTAAGTGCTTACTATATGTTGGCTCAGTGGTTAAAGCAACTGACTGCTAACCAAGAGGTCGGTAGTTCGAAACCACCAGTGGCTCCACGGGAGAAAGATGTGGCAGCCTTCTTCTACAGAGATTTATAACCTCAGAAACCCTATGGGGTCGCTATAAGTCAGAATCGACTCGACAGCAGTGGGTATACGTTAGACAGAATTCTTGGATGACACTAACAGTTAAGCTCTCGACTGCTAACCAAAAGATTGGAGGTTTGAGTCCACCTAGAGACACCTCAGAAGAAAGGCCTGGCGATCTACTTCTGAAGAATCAGCCACTGAAAATGCTATGAAGAATAGCCCTACTCTGACATACACGGGGTTGTCATGAGTTGCAAATGACTTGACGGCAACTGACTGGTATATGTTAGATGAGGCATTAGTGGTTTAGTGAAAGGATTCTCATCTTCCATGCAGAAGCCCCAGATTCGATTCCAGCTAATGTACCTCATGTGCAGCCACCACTACCTGTCACGGGAGGCTTGTGTGTTGCTATGATGCTGAACAGGTTTCAGCAGAGCTTCTAGACTAAGACAGACTAGGAAGAAAGGCCTGGCAATCTACTTCTGAAAGTCAGTCAATGAAAACCCTATGGATTGCAATGATCTGATACAAAACTGATCAGGGAATGGCACCAGCTGGGCAGCATTTCATTCCATTGTGCGTGGGGACACCATGAGTTAGAGGCTGACTCTACACAGCTAACAACAACATATGTTAGACACTGCGCACTGGGAGATACAGTGGTGAACTTCACAGAAAACTTCCCTGCTGTCATGATAAATAAGAACATGCACCACCCCCAATTCCATTACATGTATTTTAAACCATCTGATATTGTCCCACAGGTCACTGGCTCTGCTCTTTCCCTTACCCAGCTTTTAATTTTTTCATTCTGTACTTCAGTTTGACTGGTATCTACTGCTATGTCTTCAAGCTCACTGATCTTTTCTGATGCAGTGTCAAATTTGCTATTTAAGCTTAAGATTCTCAGGTGAATTTTTTATTTCATATATTATACTTTTCAGCTCTAGAAGTTCCATTTGGTTCTTTTAATAATTTCCCTCCTTGTTATGTTACATTTTGCTTTAAATCCTTGAGCAAATTTACAATAGCTATTTTAAAAATCCTTTATTGCTATTTCCATCATCTGTTACTTCTGTGTCTATTTCTATTGTCAGATTTTTCTCCTGAATATGGTTTACATTTTTCCTGCTTCTTTAAAAAAGTCTGTATTGTTTTCTTCCTTTAGAGTATGTTCAACTTCCTTCTGATAGGCAGTTAAATAACTTGGGGACAGCTTAGTTCTTTCAAGGTTTTAGGCTTTGCTGGGGAAATTCTGCAGTTGTCTTTACTCTATGGCTAATTTAGCTCTTTACTAAAGCATGACCTTCTGGAGTTCCAATTCAATGTCCTGAGTACTCAAAAAGATTTACTCTTTAACCGGTCATCTAATTAAATTCTTTTATCGGTCTAATGGTTTCAATTGCTCTTCTGTCTAGGCAATCATATAATCTATAATTAATTTTAATTTTGTTTCCAAAACAAAATTAGTATCTTTATTTCTTTCTCCTATTTGGTTACATCTGCTAAACCCTCCAGTTAAATATTAAACAGTGCTTTGTTCTTGATTTTAATGTGACATGTCTAATATTTCATTATGTCTGTTTTTTAATGAAGGCTGTACAACTTATGAAAAGATATAACTTATTATTAGGAAAATTTATTAGAAATATGTTGCCTAATTTATATATTTAATGCAAACCCAACTAAAATATAGAAAATAAAAAGAAACAGACAAAATATTCTAAATTTCATATGAAACAATAAATATGTGAGAATAGCTAAGAGAATTCTGAAAAGCAGGATACTAAAGGGACTTGTACTACCAGAGACAGTAAAGCACATTACCACATTATAATGATTAAATCAACATACACAAGAATTAAAACAAACACACTAATCAATGCAAGAGAAAATAGATGCACATACATATGGAAATACTTTTTATACTTTATCATATTTCATCATAAAATTACTACTTCAGTGGGAAAGTGGGATTATACAATTAATAATGTCA